TATCCAGCACACACCCGCCGGCTAGCTCACGTTTGTGTTTTTAGGAAGTAAAGTGACGACGTTTGGAGGAGCGCAAACTTGATCAACAAGATTATACGAGAAGATTATTTCATGCTTGTACAACTGGCGTCGTCTGTGGGAATTTCACAAAGAACGAAACCTTTTGATCGAGTTTTCCTCTCTAGTTGAAAACAATGGCGCACAATGAAGACTTGCCGCAATTTGTTATTTATGGGCAAACCCTGGAGGGGGGTGGGAGGTGCGAAGGTTTACCTTCTATCCTACCAATGGCGGATTTAGAACCCCAGCGACGAAACTCCCGAAAAGACGCAAGGGTTATATAAAGCCAATAGTCAAGTTGGTGGAGACGAAACCGGCTCACACTGGTAATCACGTGGAACAATTTCTGACTCTATCTAATTGTTTTAATTTGTAATTGATAGTCTAGTCTTTTCATACACATATAATGTATGCCAGCACTTCTAATTACAAAAATATGATCATAATACAATAGGATATGTAACTAAATAATTTATTAGCAAATCATCACACATCTTTTTTTTTATCAATACTTGGCACAATTCTAAAATTATTCACAACTTTTGAAACTGGAGATGTTGAAAGATATCAATCTCATAATTCTACAATTGAAATTTTAAATTTATTTGTAAATTGTTTTTTTTTTTTTTCCAGTTTTTTATAGTTAGTGGTGACGCCATTCTCTTTGCCAATTTGTGGGTGTTAATTTCTAATTTGAGGGTGTTAAAATGTTACAATATTTATAATTTTAATACACTTTTATATATTTTTATTTTTTAATATAGTTTTTACATATTTTAGAACATCTCCAATGGACTCTTTAAGAGCTCGTTTGGGATGTGAGTTGTCTTTTTGACTATTTTAACTTGAGACTAAAAAGATTTTTTTGTTTTTTTTGACTTTTATGAAAGAAAAAACAAAATAATTAGAAGTTGGATGTGACATTTTGTCATATTTAACTAAAATAATCTATTTTGTTCTACATAACTATTTTAGCCAAAACTCGTTGCCCAAATGGAATCTAAAAAAAGTTTATTAGGTACTATAGTTAGTTTCATCCCATTTTACGTTTTTCAACAGGCCGGCAATTACACTAATTGTTTTAACAATTTTTTTCAAGTTCGTTACATTTGTAGAGTCTTAGAGCATCTGTATCAAAGTAGCTAAAATTCTTTCATAATAACACTTTAATGCATTAAGAATAAGCATAAAAAAATTCTTTGAAATCCAACACATATGAATTTCTTGAAAAGTCCCAACACATATGATTATTATCCCTCATAATAACACTTTAATGTATTAAGAACATGTACAAAAAAAAATTTCTTGAAAAATCCAATACATGTGATTATTATCAAAATATTAAACTTTAATATAATATAATAATAAAAAAAGATATTTAATTATTTGAAAAGTCTAACACATATTATTATTATCAAAATAATAAACTTTAATATAATATAAAAAAAGAAAAAAAGAAGACACTTAAAAAAAAAATTTAAAAATCACAATTCACATATGTAAATAATTGTAAACAAAATCCGTGCATAGCACAAGTGATATGCTAGTATATATATACACAAGCATTTCTTCAATGGAATCGAAAACGAAGTCCTTCCAGTAAGGTATTCAATCAATGCATACAAACCAATACCTGTTTGAATTTTTGTTAGGTTTTTCAATCGTATATTTGTCTCTCATGATTGTTAAATTTGTTTCTTTTGCCAGTTGCTTCTTCAATTTCATTCCCTATTAAGTTGGATGATTATTGTTTCCATTTTCCTGTAAATAATGGATTATTTCTTCTTCGTGATTATTCCTAATATAATTATTATTTACAAAGTTTCAAGAACAGGGTTTGAAATTATTGTGAAAGGATTCGCGTTTGGAGGTTGAATTTGACCTTTGGATTGGGGAAAACAAAAAACAAAATGGTACCTAAGTGGGTTTATGGTTGAATTTGAACTCTGATTGGGGAAAACATAAAAACAAAAAACAAAAGAGAAATGTTTTTTGCCCCGATTTTCTCCGCCCCGAATGCCTCGAAATTCAGAAGAGAGAGAGAGAAGAGAGGGGAAGAGAACCGCAGCTCAGCGCCTCGCTGCTCGCCGTTGCAGCCCCCTGAATCCCCCGAATGAGATAGGAGAGAAAGAGAAGAGAGGAGAAGAAGAGGAGCCCGCCGTCGCCTCCGCCCGATCGTCGCCCTCCGTCGCTCGTCGCAGCAGCTCCAGCTCGTCGCAGCAGCCTCGCTCGTCGCAGCTCCGCCTCTACCTCACCGCCTCCGCCCCCTACCTCAGCCCCGAGTTTGTTGGCCCCCTCCCCTTCTCTTCGTCTTCTTCTTCCTTCTGCTGGAAAAAAAAAATACAAAAACGACGTCATTTTTGTATATTAAGGGCATTGAGCTCAAATTCGAGCTCCTAATCGGTTCTGAAAACAAAATAGTACCCAAGTTGGTTTGTGCTGGGTTTGTTCATCCCATTGGTTTGATTTTGAGTGTTGAAAAGTTCTGTAATGGTGGAATGAGTTCAGTTTTGGAGTATGGCGGGGGGGGGGTCGGCAGCGGCATGGCAGAGGCAGTGTGTCGGGGCCAAGGTAGGGCGGCGATGTGGATCCTCCTCTTCTCTCAACCCTTCTCTTTCTCTCTAATGCTCTGCTTCACAATCACAGGAACGAAGAAATAGATCTGAATTTTTTTATTTTTTCAAATTACTCACCAAAACGACGTCGTTTTGTGAGGTTCAATTTCAACCATTGGATAACTTTAAGAGATCACTTCAGGGTTTAAACTCTAGAGGATCCTGACGCGGTTAGGAGTTCTAAAATGGCGTTTCTAATTGGATTGTTAGAGCATCTTACAATATTATTAAAAAATTTATTTTTTATTTTAAACTCAACAGGCTTTTTATTCTTTTTCTATTTTATTAACAAACTCTATATTTTTTTCTATTCTATTAAAATATAATTTTTCATTATAAATTTTAGGGCAAATTACAAACACCTCCCTCGAGGTTTGGTGAAAATACAGATTTCCCCCTGAGGTTTGAGAAATTACAAATTGCTCCCCGAGGGTCAAATTTTCATAACAAATTAGAAAAAATTAGGGGAGAATCTGTATGAAAATAAAAACTTCAGAGGGCAATTTGTTATGAAAATATAAATCTCAGGGGGCGGGATATAATTTTTCAAGCCTTAGGGGAGAATTTGTATTTTCACCAAACCTCGAGGGGGGTGTTTTTAATTTGCCCTAAATTTTAAAAAATAAAAATCATAAATGTGTGCTACAGTCCTTAAACAAAACAAAATAAAACAAATATATATAAGGGTCCTACAATGACTCCTTACAAATAGGGAGGCACTGTAGCAATTCATATTTTAGAAGAGTGTTTAATGGAGCTTCTGGAAGTATATATGAGCCATGCTCTTACGATCACAAAACATTTCCGGTTTGTTTGGGAATAACGTTTTTAATTTAAAATTTAAAATTTTTAATTAATTTAGTCTAGTTTAATTAGTTAATTATTTTTGATTTTTTAATAAAATAAAATAAAATATGTGATATTTTATTTTATCGATTTATTTAATTTATTTATATTTTTTTTGTTCCCAACTCAACCCTAACTTGTTAAACGGCAGCTTAGTTTGAAATGACTACTCTATCTATCCTTTCATATTAGGGGGATTTTTATTAGGAAAATATTAAATCACTGAAATTTTTTAAAAAATAATTGTAAATGAGTGAGAAACTTTATAAATATTATTAATTAAAACAATAAATTTTTTTTTTATAAAATAAATCATTACCTTTTCAAGATTCCAGTAGGATATAATTACTCCAATTTTATGAAAATCAATTAATACCACATAAGTTAGAATTTTAATTTATATTTTACATATTTCTTTTCAATTATGTTTAAATCATATTTACATACAAAAAATAAAATAAAAAAATAGGAGATTAATAAAATTTTCTTTTAAATAATATTAACTAGTGAAGGAGGATACTTCATGATATTTTAATAAATAAAATTCCTTAATTTTAAAATTTTAATGTGTAAGGTCTAAATTCTATTCATTCTAAGACTAATTTTTGTCCATGAACAAAATATAGATTAGTTGTCATAATTGAGCCAAAAATAATAGAGAATTGTTCCAAACTTGGCTGTCATAATCGAGCCAAACAATAGAGAATTGTCCCAAACTACTAATATAGAGAATTGTCCCAAACTACTAATATATTGGTCGTAAATAAATAAATTGTCGACCCTTAGAATCAGGGCATGGTACCCTCATTCTCTATACGAGTTTATGCTCTTATTTTTCTCAAATTGATCGACAATAAATAAAATATTTTTCTTAGATTGTTTATAGGATAGATTGCTTATTATTTTATTTTTTGTCCTCTTAATGTCATAGAAGTAGGTTAAAAAGTCAATTTTTTTTGTTATTTATTTATTTTTAAATGTACAAAAAAGTAGAAAGTCAGTGTGGCCCACAAAATTCAAAAAGCCAGCTTTTTAGATTTTTTTAACCCAATTGCCAAAATTCTCCTCTTCAAAATACTTCTAATTGAATATGGAAGAAGACATCATTGATACAAAAGAAAGTAAAAATATTACACAAAAAATAACAAAAAAAATGAAGTGATAATATTATAAATAAAAATATTTTTATTAGTATTTTTTTTTTAAGTAAAAACTTTATATTAATTCACATCATTTTATTAATGAATGTTCTATATGTCATTATTCATTGAATAATTATGTCTCAAAATTTAAATTTATATTGTGAAACTAGAGGTGCAAAAAGTCACTGGGCCTCACATTGGGTCCAAAACGCCAGGTGGTGGAAATGTGAGAGTCGTTACTCTTCCAATCTTTCATTTCACATACAAATTATTTGATGCCCCAGATTGAGTTCTTTTACTATCTCACCTGCAGACACTCTTCCCCTCTCACCTGCAGACACTCTTCCCCTCTCTCAAGATGACACTTCGGCGAATCAAACCGGTGACACAATTTGACTCTTATACCAATTGTTAGTTGAATCATGTTTCACGGTCTCTATTAAAACCAATTGATGTTAGGCTTTTAATAATATTTGATATCGCACTAGACTTACGTTTGGCGGGGCACCAATGAGTTTTTCTGGTGAATTGTTTCTAAATTCGAGGACTTGTAATTTTATATTATGGAAGCCCACTGATAAGCTAGTATTTACAAAAACTATCATCCAAACAAAACCATATTTGGTCTACTTTATCGTTAGCATATATTCTCTTCCCATCATATTTCTTGCTTTTTTTATGTTGTTTCTATTTTCTATATTGTTTGTTGTAACACTTATTTTTATTTTATTTATTTATTTATTTTTAACGGGGAACATTTGTTTATTCATCTTATAAGATTGCTCTGAATTTTCATTTTCGTGTCAATTTTAACCTTTCTTTTTTTTTTTGGGTATCATTTCCCTCTCTTACGGTTGTGCCTGTGCCTCTATGTGGAGCCCAAACTTCAGCCTTGCTGATGATTTTGCACTCTAATAATACTTGCTTGAGCTGCCTATTTGCCTCCTGTTAGCCTCCGTTTGGGAAGTGGGTTGGCTTTTTGACTTTTTTGACTATTTTAGCCTGGACTAAAAAGTTTGGTTTGTGAAGAGTTTTTTGATTTTTTTAATTTTTTTTGTAAGAGAGGAGTGTAATGAAACGGGGAACATTTGTTAATTCATCTTATAAGATTGCTCTGAATTTTCATTTTCGTGTCAATTTTAACCTTTCTTTTTTTTTTTGGGTATCATTTCCCTCTCTTACGGTTGTGCCTGTGCCTCTATGTGGAGCCCAAACTTCAGCCTTGCTGATGATTTTGCACTCTAATAATACTTGCTTGAGCTGCCTATTTGCCTCCTGTTAGCCTCCGTTTGGGAAGTGGGTTGGCTTTTTGACTTTTTTGACTATTTTAGCCTGGACTAAAAAGTTTGGTTTGTGAAGAGTTTTTTGATTTTTTTAATTTTTTTTGTAAGAGAAGAGTGTAATGATTATGGGTTGGATGTGATGTTTTGTTTTTTGTGGCTAAAATAGCCTATTTTGTCTTTTGTGGCTAAAATAGCCAAAAAAAACCTAGAAAAACTCTTCCCAAACGGACCCTATGTATGAAAATTATATCATACCCTTCATATATGGAGTCATTATTGGGCTCATGGCCGGTGTTGATACAGTTGGAGCATTGTTTATTTAATGAGACACTTCCTAATTCTCTTCAATAGCACTTGTCATTTTTCTTTTTACCCTCAAATTAGTACTTTTTTCTGCTTTCTTCACTGCCATGCAATGAAAAACAGATTTGTATGGACAGCCATACAACCATGCAGAAAGTTTACAATCAATACATCTTGTCATCTTCATGTTACTTCAAGAGCAAAAGATCCGTTCCAAATTCTTCTGGCTTTGAGATTTAATGACTGTAAGGTGTTTTGGGATACTTTGGGACACGAATTCGGTAAATTATTAAGAAGGGAGTAGATTTTAAATTATTATATATGCATTTATAGATTGAACAAAAGACATTTACGTGGTTCATCACAATGAGTGACTACGTCCACAGGAATTGAAGGCTTTCCATTAAGCAAAATTTGGGGTACAAATAGATACACACACAAAAGAAGCACTCAAAAATCAAATCTAGTCATCACTACCTGAGCATGGAATTGTAGAATACAAGATGAATTGCACTCCAAAATTGAATATCTTACAGATTGGACGATGGGATGGGGGGTTTCGAATGAACAATTGACATAGGTTGCAATCTCCTCTACCAACCTGTGAGAAAATGCAAAACAGAGAAAATAAATAACTTTTTCTATTTTCTATGCACGAAAATGCCAGAGCAACCTTGGAAAAGATTTTGAAAAAAAAAAATGCATTTGATTTACCTAAAAATAGTTTAGTTGACAAAAACCATGAGTCAGTCTCTTTAACCCAAAGACTTTGGGATTTTTTGTGCATACCACACCATCCTTGTTGTTTATGCCACTTAACGAATGCGGTTCAGGTGAGCAAATGGCTCAGGATTTGCCTTAGGTGCAGGTTTCGCCACTTCATGGGTGCAGGTTTTGCCACTTCAGGAGTCCCAAAAACATTCCAAAATCTTAGAGTTTCATCCCCTGCAGCAGATGCTACTGTACATCCATCTGGGCTCTGAATCAAAATACATCGAAAAGAAATCAGAATCAATAAATTCGACATAAAACACTCACTCACTCAGGTAGAAGAAATATAAAATTTTCAGATTAAATTAAATTGTACCTGAACCATGAAAAGAACTCTGGATGTATGGCCAGTGAGCTCTGCTACTTTCACCATAGATGGGTACTTCCAAAGCGTAAGCTGATTCTGTGTAAAGCCATGAGAGCTAAGCAGCTCGCGCTCATTCTTGTTCCACAGAAGAGAACAGACCTGTGATCCAGTGTCAATCGAGTTCAAGCAAGCACCGGTGTGGGTGTTCCAAAACTTTATGCACCTGTCACTGCCACCTCCACCAGAGGCCAGCAAGTTACCCTGGAACGGACACCAAGCAAGGGCTTTAACAGCGGCTGTGTGGTCTTCAAGCCTGTGAAGCCACTGTGTTGGGGAATTAGAAGAAGCCGTCGATCTGTCCCATATATGCAGGAGATTGTCATTTCCCCCACTTGCTAACTGTTGACCCGAGGCTGACCATTTTAGCCCACAGACTTCTTGATGGTGTCCCCTGTAGGTTTCAACAATATGTGATCTTACTCTTACATCGTTGTTGATGATCTGACCATCCATTCCTCCAGTTGTCAAAATATGATTGTTCCAATCCATAGATCCAACTCGTGATTGGTGGCCACCTCTCAAGATTCGTAGCTGTAGAATCAGCATTCAACGGTAACAAAATTAATTAAACAATGGAAAACAGTACTCAACTGCAATCTACAAGAGTAACAAACCTGTCGATTAGCTGTAGAATCCCAAAGTTGGACATTAGAGTTGTTCAAGCCAACTGCAATGTGTCGTCCATCAGGAGCCCATTTGACACTGGTCACAGGGCCATTTTCGTCGTCAATGGTGACAAGTTCTGAGGTGGCACCATCAGTAGCATCCCACAGATATACTGTGTTTCCAAGAGCAATAGCAAGAACATTGCTGCTACCCCAATCTAACAAGTTCAAGTAGTAATCATCCACCAGGTCAGGAGCGTCTAACGTTCTCTCGGAAGTCTGTATGATCGAAGTGAAAAACACTTGAGAATTTCAAAGATAACAAAGGAAAAGCATAAACATTCATCCAAATTATTCTTGATTCACAAATTCATAAACACGTGTAAATTCTCCACTTATTAATGCATATGGAAGCAAAATTCAGATAGTTTACGGTTGATAACTTGCATATGGAAGCAAAATTCAAATAGTTCACATTTGATTACTTTTTATTTCCTATTTTTTGTAATTTAAATCATCATCTTACAACTCTTCAGACAACCAGTCCAAATCTAAATTCAACCTATCTTACATGATCAATCTTAATGTCAGTAGTTTACATTTGATTATTATTTATGTCCAACATTTTGCATTTTAAATCATCATCTTACCACTCTAAGGCAACCCTTCCAAGTCCAAATTCAACCTATCTTATACGATCAATCTTAATGTTACTGTAAACAACACAATCAAAGGGCAATAGTAGAATATGAACCTACCTGAGGAATGTAACGACGGGGCTTTGTGGGTTTGGACTGGTGAATAGCTGAGAACTCGTTTGGTATGGCCTCAACTGGGGTGGGCGGCTTGTTTTTGAAAGCCAGTATCCGGGTTCGATTCATGTTGAAGGTTTCCTTCAGTTGCTTCTGGTATGCCTCCCTGGATGGAGAGCTCATAGCTGGGTTCTCTTTGCCTTTCCGCCCTTCAGTCAGCATGTAATGTGCATAATCGAAATCAATCGCCGATCTGTTTGGTATGAATCTATCCAACTGTTGAAAACAGTACAGCAAGACACAAATTAACAATGAGAATCACTGAGGTACATAAAATTTCAAGAATCCCATTAAACAAAAACTTGTCTCCAGTTACCCTAGCTTCAAAAATCCAATTACAAACCAGAACAACAATACCCTAATTGAAAAAACTAATGAAGTATAAACCCCAGTGTCAAATTCAAACAAACAGAAACTGATAATAAGAATAACTGAGGTGTATGTAAACTTTCACGAATTGCGTTAAACAAAAACTAGTCTCCAGAAACCCTTGCTTCAGAAATCCAATACCCGAATTCAAAAAAACTAATTAAGCATATACCCTATTGTCAATTCAAATAAACAGAAACCGACAATAAGAATCACTGAGGTATGTAAACTTTCAGTAATTGCATTAAACAAATTCCTGTCTGCAGAAACCCTAGCTTCAGAAATCCAATTATGAACAACAATACCCAAATTCAAAAAACTAATCAATCATGATACCTAGTGTCAATTAAAGTAAATATTAAATCCTAGCCTAAGAATTGAATCAAGAAGAAGCAAAATCATGGCTGCAAGTATCAAATCAAATCGAGAAAACAAAACCAAGATTCATGGCCAAAAAAAAATGAGAATATACACGTATAATAATGACAACCGTCAATGAATTAAAGGATTTACAACTCTATTCGAGGGCATACGTATGCATACATTTTCTCGAGAACTTTTCCTATGAAGAAACTGTTCTTGAAGGGGGCATCGAGTTTGTGCTTTCCCTGTTGAAGAGTTCATGGATCCTGCATCCATTGTTAGCACTAAAAATAGAGAGAGAGAGAGAGAGAAACCCTGAAAAAGCAAAAACAAGAAACACCCTGCAAAAACAATAGAGAAAAGCAAGCCTGGAAAGCAAGTTAGATAAAAGAAAGTAAACAACAACAAAATTGAGAGAGAGAACACGATGTCAATCGCTGGTAGCTTTGTTGATTGTTGATGGTAGGACCGACCACAGCAACAACAAAATTGAGAGAGAGAGAGAGAACACGATGTCAATCGCTGGTAGCTTTGTTGATTGTTGATGGTAGGACCGAGCGCACAGGGAGAGAGAGAGAGAGAGAGAGAGCAGTTGATTGAATTATCAAGAGTTTTGACAGGGTTATATATTGATAAAGATTGCAATTTCGATCACTCGTTTGCTGTCCAGATTCTGGAAAGTGCAACGGCTATATTGTTCAAATAGCCGTTTCAATTCAGTTGACGAAAACACCCTCTATCGTGATGCGCCAAATTGACTATGTCGAAGATATTCGCTTTTACTAGCAGGGCATTTTAATAATTTAAACATAAATCATAGTTTTTTAATTCATAAGCTAATGCTTGAACTACAAATTTTCTAACTAGTTTATTTATTTGTTAAAAAAAATACAAATTTGTTGCTCCTTCTAAAAACATCTCCAATGGTGTATCTGTTTTTTTCCCACTAAGTAAAAGCTCTAAATGCTCCAACTAGTGGCGTAGTCAGAAGAAGGGGCACAAATTAATGACAACATTAATTTTTTTTTCTTTATAATAAATAACAATGAGATATTACTAAACTTAAATGTTAAGAGTTAAAAAAAGATAAGTTGAGATAGAAATGATATATTTTAGTAGATAAATTCTATAAAACATACTGCAAAAAAGTGTCTAACATATGTTGCAATGGTCTTTAGTTATAACACATTATAGTGTTAGATATAATTTAGTTATAACTTCTTATGGTTGTTATTTTGGCTATAACTATACAACAAGTAATATTTAGTTATGACTCATTCTGATATTAGTTATGACTTATTGTAATTTTTTTTTTAATTTTTTTTTTATAATTGAAGATGTGTTGCTTGATTATAATTTATATAGTAGTCATTTTAGTTATAAATGGAAAGAAACGCATAGAGGATAAACTCCATATGTCAAATGTAACTAACAATCCAATAAACTCCATATCATTTTGAACTTCCAAAATCTGAGATAGACTTCCAGAGAGTGAGTGAGGTTACTTCTAGTGAGAGAAAGGGAGAAATTGAAAGAGAACTTGAAGCTTAAGCTACGGTTGGTCAAGATTATGTTAGAACAAGAGTAATTCAAGGCTCTAGGTGAGTTTTGTACCCTCCAATTCTTGAGGATGAGTTGAATTCATGATGCATATATGATCATTTGCATATATTTTGCATAAGGGTGTCAAAAAATGATGGAAATTGAAGTAGCTTCATATGCATGCATGATTTCTTACATCCTTGAGTTTGATTTTGAGTATTTATATTCAAATGATGAGTTATATGGTACATGCATGGTTCATTCACCATGTTTAACTCTTGAATACATGTTTTAGAAAGGAGTTTCTTATATGCATGGAGCCTTGAGCTCAAATTTGTTAAGTTTGTGAATTTTGAAAAGAGATCATGTACATGCATGCACAATTCTACATTGTTGAGTTCCATTTTCCACAAATTCTTACATGCAAATGCATATCTTTGCTATGTCTCGAGAGCTCACCATGATTTTACATGAAAACATCTTATTTGTCCATGTTTTGGAAGTTTGGGTTTTATGAATCTTTACATACATGTGTTTTAAAGTTTGGTTTTGAAGAATTGACATACTTTTGGGTTTTGATTTTGGCAAAATGACTTTCAATTCATGATGTTTTACAAGTTTACAAGTGTTTTCTCAAGTTTTGGCCCAAAAGAATGAGTTTTGATTCATTGGAATTGAGTTTTGAAGCTTAGAGAGCAATGTGGAAATTCCAGAATTCACATTCTTCGCTTGAGCAGTGAAAGTTGGGCTCGAGCGAAGAATGCAAGCTCCCAGAAGTTTTGCACACATGAGCACTCCGTTTGAGTGACACAATCTATGCTTGAGTCACTACCCTTAATTTTGAACCTTGGCTTGAGGGAAGAAAGTTGAGCTCGAGCACAAAATGAATGCTCTCAGAACTTTTTGCAAACCTAGGGGTCCACTCGAGCGACCAAAGTTACGCTTGAGCGAACTACCCTGTTTTCTGAAATTTTGTTAGGTGTTTTAAAGTGCATTTTGAGCATCCTCATTGCATCCTAGGCATTCCTAAGCCTTAATTAAGAAACAATAATGAGGATATGAATTAGAAACACACTAAGAAATAAATGTACTAAGTTAAGAGATTACAAAGAGTGTGTTTCAATGTATACGAGCGTATGATAAAAAGAATAAGAAGCTAATGCAAAGAAAACTAAGCCGTGATGGCCATATAGATGTGTAATGATAAGACGTGTTTTGTGCTATATACGTTTTGATTGTAGGTCGAGAATTGGAGACCGATCAACTGTTTCTGGAAGCCCAATGTGAGTAATGTTATTGTAAAGATATGTTCACGTGAATTATGTTCCAAATGTGATTTGATAATTTTTGATTTCTGAAATGATATTTGTTTATGTGAATGAATGTCCTATGTTTGAAATCTATTATGGCATCTATAGATAGTCCCAAGTCATGGGAGACGACATGTTAATGCGGGTTCATGACATATATGTGATTACGAGATCTCATTAGCCACTTGACAAATTGGTGATGTGTTTAATTGGTATCTGGAACAGATTACTCTAGTCGGATGATGATGTGATATGTTCTATTAGATGCACTATTATTATGTTCGGATATGAGAATTTCTTTGGTTATGATCTGGTTTATGAATATGATATGTTCGGAATTCGTTCACTAACCTCTTTACATTTATGTTATTCACTGGGTTTTAGCTCACTATGTATATATATATATATATATATCGATGAGCATTCTGGAGATCAGGCCTGAAGACTTCTGTCCAGATCTGTGTTCTATTGTTAGCCAACCATTGTGCCTCATGTGGAGGTTCCTAAAGTGTCGCGTGTTAAGCTCCAGTTGTTTTTATATATAAGACTTTGTTTGTTTTTGTTGGTTGTACTTAAGATGCTGCAGTTAAGTGTGTGTGTGTGTGCATAACGTGAGAATGATTTTTGGATATGTATATAAAGTTTTAAATATGCTGTTTCATATAAGTCTGCATAGCTTATTAGACAATTATATTTTTGTTATTTGCTTCCGCTAGCCCATTTATTTTGTGATTATGTTTCAGAGGCCGTAGGTAATCTTAAGATTACTGGCCGGTTAAGACGCTAAACCTATAGGGGCGGATTTGGGTCGTGACACCATTGATCTTGCGAGGAACAAGGGTACATGCCAAACTTCTGGTAGTCTTTCAACTCAACGTGTCTGCTACGACATTAGCTTTGCTTGGATGGTGATGGATCTCTACATTATAGGCCTTCATAAATTATAGCCATCGTCGTTGCCTCATATTCAGTTCTTTCTGTGTAAACATATATTTAAGACTTTTGTGATCCTTGTAAATTTCGTAAGTTACTCCGTAGAGATAATTGCGCCAAATTTTGAGGGGCAACGATTACTGCAGCTAATTCCAGATTGTGGGTTGGGTAGTTCTTCTTGTGAGTCTTTAATTGATGTGAGACATATGTAATGACTTTTTTATTTTGTATAAGGACACAACCCACACCATTGTATGAGGCATCGCTATAAATTACAAACCCTTCCATTCCCGTAAGGAGTGCTAGTATAAAAGTTGTCACAAGTCCATTCAAAGGGTGTGTTCTTTTGAGTTAGCTGGGTCAAGGGTGATGGTATCTTCGAGAAATCTTGCATGAAGGGTCAGTAATAGCCAGCTAGACCCAAGAAGCTTGGAATCTCAGACACGTTAGTAAGTTGTAGCCAATCCACGATTGCTGTAACCTTTTGGGGGTTGACCGAGATGCCATCCTTGTTAATGACGTGACCGAGGAAATGTACGCTAGTGATCTAGAATTCGCATTTCTTCAACTTGGTATAAAGTTTGTGATCACGTAGTGTCTGTAGAACTCTTCACAAGTGGTGTTCATGCTTTTCTGGTGATTTGGAGTATATGAAAATGTCGTCAATGAAAACAATGACGAACTTGTCAAGATAGGGATTGAACACCCGATTCATAAGGTCCATAAAGGCTGCTAGAGCATTTGTGATGCCAAATGGCATGACGAGGAACTCATAGTGCTCGTAACGTGTTTTGAAGGCAGTCTTATCGATGCTATCGTTTTAACTTTTAATTGATGATAGCCAGGACGCAAATCAATTTTCGAGAATACTTGGGTGCTTTGAAGTTGATCAAACAAGTCATCGATTCATGGCAGAGAGTACTGATTCTTGATGGTGACCTTGTTCAATTCTCGATAATTGATACACAATTTCATGGTACCATCTTTCTTCTTTATGAACAGTACTGGAGCTCCCCAGGGTGACATACTTGGTCGATTGAAACCTTTGTCTAGTAGTTCCTGGAGTTGGGTCATTAGTTCTTTTAATTCCGTCATTGACATGTAGTAAAGGGCTTTTGATATTGGTTGGGTACCAGGTTGAGTTTCAATGGTAAATTTGATTTTCCGGTCAACCAGGGTACCAGGTAGATCTTCAGGAAAGACATCTGAGAATTCTCGAACCACGAGGATTGTATCAAGTGTAGGGGCCTCTTGTTGAGTATCGATCACATAACAGATATAATTATTGTCACGACCCGAACCCGCCCCCATGGGTTAAGGACGTAACCGGCCAGCAATCCTCAGATTACCTACGGCCTCAAACCAAAACAGACTTAACACATCAGAGTAAAGGGGGCCAAAAGGGAAGCAAAATTTAAAACTTTGTCCATAGAGCTGTGCTTACATGGCACATCAAAACAAACCATATATATGTACGTTAATAACTCACAACAGAAACATAGTGATATAGGTTCTGTACCGACAGGATCATCCAAAACTAAGTCAACCCATAAAACTATAAGCAGACATATACAAAACTTCACCAACCTGACAAAATGCAAATACACAACAAAAGGCGAAGGCGGGTCTCATGCGTGAGACACAAGGGCTGACTCTCTCAAAACCTTAGTGGTTCCATAGAGACTTCTTTGAGGCTGGGTCTGGACTTCTCTTGGCTCACCTACAAACACATGAATGAGCGTGAGCGAAAGCCCAGTGAATAATATCAAATCAAATACAAAAGTTACATAACAATGTAGCACAACACGTTCCAAACGGCCATAGGCCCAATTCCTATTTCTATTTAACAGATATATAACTATACGAAATTCAAACCAAGTGACTGTAGTTCTAAACATTCTGGCCCTTGGCCCATTTAAATTTCCATTCATGTCAAAATGGCCT